GTTTTAACCTACAACAAGGGCCAGCCATAGTCAAACTGGATTCAACTAAAGTTGGAGAAACAGACACCCGCCAGCCACCTATGTGCAAAGCATGTCGGTAGAACCAGTCTCATGAACGCGGTCATGTAATGTTGGTCCGGGATGCTTCATCCAACAATACCGCGGAATCAAAGTAAGACGTTGGTGGTAAGCAGTATGACTATTATCGCCCACAACTCAGTGTGTTCTACTCGTACATAAAACATCTACGCATAGACCTGGCTCGGATGCCACTGTTGGGGAACATAGTAATTCGAAAAGTTTCCTCGATCACGCAAGATCTATCTAGGAGATGCATAGAAATGAGACGGGAGAGTGTGTCCACGTACCCTTGTAGACCGAAAGCGAAAGCGTTTAGTAACGTGGTTGATGTAGTCGAACGTCTTCACGATCCAACCGATCCAAGTACCGAACGTACGGCACCTCTGTGTTTAGCACACGTTCAGCACGATGACGTCTCTCGAGCTCTTGATCCAGTTGACGATGAGGGAGAGTTCCGCCAGCATGACAGCATGGCGGCAATGTTGATGATGTTACTGGCGCAGGGCTTTGCCTAAGCACTACGACGATATGATCGAGGCGTTAAACTATGGAGGGGGGCACCACACAGGGCTAAGAGATTGTCGGTTGTGCTTTGGGGTGCCCCCTGCCCCCGTATATAAAGTAGGGAGGAGGAGGAGGCCGGCCAAGGAGGGGCGCGCCTATAGGGGGAGTCCAACTAGGATTCTGAATCCTAGTTGGAGTCCCCTTCCTTTTCCAAGAGGGGGAGAGAGGGAAAGAGGTGGAGGAGAAAGAGGAAAGGGGGGGGGGCTCCCCTAGTCCAATTCGGTTTGGGCTAGGGGGGCGCGTGCCTCCACCTGGTCGCTGCCTCCTATCTTCCACTAAGGCTCATGACGGCCCATTAATCCCCCGGGGGGTTCCGGTAACCTCCCGATACTCCGAAAAATGCCCAAACCTATCCAAAACCTTTCAAGTGTCCAAACATAGCCTTCCAATATATCAATCTTTATGTCTCGACCATTTCGAGACACCTCGTCATGTCCGTGATCTCATCCAGGATTTTGAACAAACTTTGGTCATCAAAAACACATAACTCATAATACAAATCATCATCGAATGTTAAGCGTGCGGACCCTACAGGTTCGAGGACTATGTAGACATGATCGAGACACATCTCCGGTCAGTAAGCAATAGCGGATCCTGGATGCTCATATTGGCTCCTACATATTCTACGAAGATCTTTATCGGTCAAACTGCATAACAACATACTTTGTTCCCTTTGTCATCGGTATGTTGCTTGCCCGAGACTCGATCGTCGGTATCATCATACCTAGTTCAATCTCATTACCGGCAAGTCTCTTTACTTGTTCTGTAATGCTTCATCCCGCAACTAACTCATTGGTCACATTGCTTGCAAGGCTTATAGTGATGAGCATTACCGAGAGGGCCAGAGATACCTCTCCGATACACGGTGTGACAAATCCTATTCTCGATCTATGCCAACCCAACAAACACCTTTGGAGACACCTGTAGAGCATCTTTATAATCACCCAGTTACGTTGTGACGTTTGATAGCACACAAGGTGTTCCTCCGGTATTCGGGAGTTGCATAATCTCATAGTCAGAGGAACATGTATAAGTCATGAAGAAAGCAGTAGCAATAAAACTTATTGATCATTATGCTAAGCTAATGGATAGGTCTTGTCCATCACATTATTCTCTAATGATGTGATCCCGTTCATCAAATGACAACACATGTCTATGGCCAGGAAACATAACCATCTTTGATTATGAGCTAGTCAAGTAAAGGCATACTAGGGACACTTTGTTTTGTCTATGTATTCACACATGTACTAAGTTTCCGGATATACAATTCTAGCATGAAAAATAAACATTTATTATGATATGAGGAAATATAAATAATAACTTTATTATTGCCTCTAGGGCATATTTCCTTTAGTTGCACCTCTACCCCCACATGCAACCAACCCCCATTTTTCCCTAGTTACAAGTTCATCCTCGATATGCAACTTGGGGATGAGGAGCCTGGCCCTTTTGTCCCAGTTGCAAGTCCACCACCGACGTGCATCTGGGTCCGACCCATTTTTTCGTTGCAATTGCAAGTGCACCCTCTGCATGCAACTTTGAGGGCCGACCTTTTTTGTCCTAATTGCAAGTCTACCCTCGATATGCAACTAGGCTCTATTCATTTTTGTCCTAGTTGCAAGTCCACCCTCGACACCCAACCGAGAGGAGGATATGGACGACCCATTTTTGTCCCTAGTTGCAAGCCCATCTCCCCCAGATGCATGCAACTTTGAGGGCCGACCTTTTCCCCAGATGCAAGCCCATCTTCGATGCGGAACTAGGGGCCGACCCATTTTTATCCCAGTTGTAAGTCCATCCTCGACACGCAACTGGGGCCTCCGGCCCTTTTTGTCACAGTAGCAACTCCATCTCGAGATGCAACTGGGGGCGCACCTTTCTTTGTCTCAGCTGCAAGTCCACCCTCGACACGCAACTGGGCCCAACCTATTTTTGTTCAGTTGCAAGTCCAACTACACCCCAACATGCTTCTTTTGCCCAATGTAATTTTTAAAATTCACAAAAACATAATCTAATTTATGACTTTAAAAAAATCATGACCATTTTTTGAAATTCATGAAAAATTACAAAATCACAAAAAACTTTTAAAATTAATGATTTCTTTGAATCCACGAACCATTTTTCAGTTGTCAAACATTTTTATATCTTTAATATTTTTTTCTAATTTCGTGACCATGCTTAGAATTCATGAACATTTTTAAGATTCACAAACATTTTTTCTGAATTGATGAATATTTTTTCAAAATTATTATTTCAATTCTCAAACAGTTTTCAAAATAGTGAAAATAAATAAACACACAAACATTTTTCATGTCCGCGAATGGGGCAAGAGGATTCAGCTAGGGTCAAGTTGGAAGATACTCGCAAAAAGAAAAAGAAACTGAAGGATACGTGTTGGCTTTGCTTTTTTTTCTTACCTTTGCAAGCTTTGGTGGCTAGTTTAGTTTTGGTGGCTAGCTTTGCCAGCGGCGGGGCAACCAGCGTAGGTTTGACGGGACAAATACGTGGACCAGTTTTTCTCTTATCTTTTTTTAGTTGGTCTTGCCAGGCAAGACAACAAACAACGACAAAGGCGGTAGTTGGAACATATTAAAAAAACACATGACATTGTACTTACTCCTATATTCATAAGGCCAACTCCATCGCGTGATCCCAAACGGACGTCCGTTTTGTCCGGTTTCTGTTCGTTTGGGTAGGAATTTGGGGTCGTGTCCGGGCCTGTCTTGGGATGCGGTGGCCGTGCGCCCAACGCGCGGCCGCATCCATTTGCCCCATCCTGTTCGCGTATATTTCTTTGCAAATTCTTAACTTTTTTTATCATTCATTTTTGGTACATGATAATACATCATTACATTTTGACTAGTAAAGCAAGGCCAAAGAAAACAAGAACCACAAGAATACATTTGAGAAGATACCCAACTTCCATAACTACTCCCTTGAGTTGGGTTAGCGTCTTCTCGATGCACTCATTGTTGATCTGTGGAGGAGGCACGACGTTGCACCCTCCTTTCTTCTTCAAGCCAGAAGTCGACGCTGCTTCCTCACACGTAGTATCGTGCCTTGTTGCTTCTTCGCACGTAGTATCGTGCCCAGTCTCTAATCTAGCAATAAGTACACTTGTCTCATCTAAAGCCTCTAGGCTAGCTAAAAGTGCACGAACATGCAATACATTTCGCTCTATCAACATATCGATGTACTCTTCTTCTCAATACCAAAATTTGCATTCGTTCTACACAATAAAATTTAAAGTTAGCACCACTAGTCTAATCGAAGAGCACAAACCGAAGCTAAAAGAGCACATACCCCATCGTTTAAGCACTTGATGAACACCCATCCGGGATGCTCCGGCGTTGTAGACATGCGGCGCACGACCACCCTTGGGCAGTGGTCGCACTTGGAGGGGCAACGGTGCGCCGACAAGCTTTTGGGCAAGCACCGAGCCCGGCCGCCCGCCATTCGCATATCTGCCGGCGGGCCACCTACGGTGCAGATCCGAGCGGCTAGAGGACGAGCCACTGCCTGCATGTGGTCTTGCGGCCTTGCCAGGGCCTTCCGGTGAGGTTCCCGGCCAGTCCATGGCGTGGCCCGACCTCCCACAGCCGGGCGAGCTCAAGACCGACCGGATCCGCCCCAAATCCGGCCGGCGGGCGCGCAAACAAGGTGGCCGTGCTTGGGTAGCTCGGCGGCGACGAGAGCAAGGGGCTAGGCAAGCGTGCGGCCAAGTTGCACGGCTGCAATGGCAGCGGGCGGCCGGCGGCGGCGAGGGAAAGAGAGGGAAAGAGTGGAGTGGATGCGGCCGGAGGGAGGGAGGGGGCGGATAGAAAAAGGCCCGTCCTGTGCCACCGACGGGCGGGCCAGGGGAGGACACGCGTAGACGACTCGCGCGTCCGCGTGATGTCCGTTTCACCCCAAAAGTGACGCAAACTTGGGCCGCGGATGGGTCGAAAGCGGACACAAAGCGGACAAAAGTCCGTTTGCGCCCGCGCGTTGCGCCGTCTCGTTTGTCCCTTTTACCCTAAACGGACGGGGGCGGACAGGATAGGGTCGCGTGCGGTGGAGTTGGCCTAATAGCCCCGAGATTCGACCGAGGACCAAGCACGACGACCACGACTACTGAATCGGGGTCTTCTCTTTTCTCCACGGAAGAGCAAGTGCGCCGCGGGTAGACAATGGAAGAGGAAATGATGGGGAAGGAGACTTGTGCTTCGAGCCGGCCGCACAGGCATGGATGATTAAAAAGCTTTCGACGAAACCGTCATCAGTAGTATAAATTATCCAACTGCAACTGCAAGCAAGCTTGTGCGCACCACGAGTCCACGACACCCACAGATTCAGCCAACTTCCATTTCGCAAGAATGCTCTCCGGTATGTTTCTCGTAGCAGCGCTCCTGCTCTTCCGCCCAACGCCGGCGGCCGGCGATTCCATGTTATACACGCACTGGCCCGACTTCAACAGTTCCGGGCTAATGGTCTTCACCCGAGATACGCAAAGGTTAGCCTCCGAGCTGTTCCTCGACAAAAATCTCTCTGAGCTCAACAATTCCAAGGGGCTCGTCGTCTTCCCGCTGAGCTCCTCGTTCTCGCTGGAATATTCCACTTCTCTCTACACAAACTTCACCATGCAAGGCTCTTCTCCTGCCTCCTTCACCGTATTATTTGCCTTGCTTCCGTGGGATATCATTAGGGGTGCCGGCGCAAGGTACATCGTCAATGGCGTTGACCAAACTAACAACAATGAAAAGACGATTGGCAGCAACGAGTTTGCTGCCGTCGAGATTGGCACGCTGAGGTCGAGCTCGGCCGACCCAAGAAAGCCGGGTGTTGGCCTCAATGTCACCGTCACGCCCACCAAGATCCAGCGCCTCGCCGTGAGGATCGACTACTTCTACACCAAATCCAGGGCGGCGGTGTACGTTGGCCCCGTCGGCTCGGAAAAGGGGACGGACGTGGTTGCCAGCGGGCCGGTCAATATAAAGAAGATGCAAGCAGTCGATTTTGCTTTCATCGGCTTCTTCAGCGACCGTGTGAGCAACATCTTGAGCAATATCAAGACTTGGGAGCTCAAGGTGGAAAGTGTTATTCCGAAGCGCAAAGGGCCGTCATGGCTGGTCATACTGCTCTCGGTTGTCGGATCAGCGGCTGCCACGGCCATTACTGCTGCTGCTTTCGCTGTCTACTACAGGTCCAAGTACAGGAGGTGGAACAAGGACCTGCAGCGGCTGGCCAGGTCCATGCAGCACCTCCCGGGGATGCCAAGGCACGTCGACTTCGCCGACATCAAGAAGGCCACCAAAAACTTCCATAGCAGCATGCAGCTGGGAGCAGGCGGATTTGGGGCCGTCTACAGATGCAAGCTTCCGGCCGCGCCCGAAGTTGGGGGTCCGGAGGTGGAGGCGGCCGTCAAGAAGTTCACGCGCAACCACAACGGGTGCTACGATGACTTCATGGAGGAGGTCAGCGTCGTCAACCGTTTGCGCCACCGGAACATCGCTCCTCTTGTCGGTACGCGCAACTCACTCCATCATTCAAAATTCTTATCCATTTTTGAAACAAGTGTAGCTACCTGTGAGTCGCCTGAATTTAAAATTTGAATCAGTCGAATTTGGGATTAGAAGGAAAGAGCAGCCGCTGGCTCGCCGGAGAAACAGCATCCCCTGGCTCGCCGGAGAAGTAGCAGCCCCTGGGTCTTAGGATGGCAGACTCGCCGGTATCTATCTTAGGGGTGTGTGTGGTGGGAGAGGGGAGTGCAGGTTTCTTGGAAAAATCTATTTATTACGGGGGTTAGAGGGATGACCGAGCGCGACGCGAGCATGATGGTTGGCGGCGGTTTAGAAGAGGGCGGGGCGGCGAAGGCCGGCGGTTAGGCCCATAGTACGCGGGCAGTTGAGGAGCAATGCGAGCATGAGGTTGAAGAAGACCATCTCACTGTTGATTTTGCATCAGACGACCCAAAATGAATTGAATGAGTTAAAAATAGTTTTCACTGGACTCACCAATAGCCTAGTTCCATTGATCGTCCCCCGTATGACCCATCAGTTTTTTCAACGATATGTTACTTTAAACAGCATAATAATTCCACTTGAATATTCATTTAGTAGCTAGTAGTAGCAGTATTAGTTTGATATTCTTTTCCGTAGTAATAGTTAAACAATAATAAAGTTGTGTCTTTCTAGAGCATATCTAGATGTGCCCTAATTATTATAAACATCTAAATAACTCAGTCAAGTATAATAAAAAAAAGAAAAAAATATCCAAAAAGTCAGCTCATAAGTTAAGAGTGTGGTTGTGTGTCTCTCCTAAGGAAAAGGTATAATAAAAAAGAAACCCAAGCGATAACGCTCACGTGTGGCATGAAGCAATATGGCCCAAACGCCTCCATTAAAGCATCTTCAACCGCGCCCCAACAGGCCCTTCCCAGACGTTTTTTCCGCGCCGGCGCCCAAAAATCGGTCCAGTCGCACCCACAGGACCCCGATTTTCGCCGGTTTGGGCCGAAACTGGCGCCGACGGATCCAAGCCGAACCCAGAGCGCTGGGGAACGCCCGGGGGGCGCCGGGGCGAGCGATTTTGGTGCGAAAGAGGATGCGCCCGTCGAGTCAGCGACACGCCGCTTCGTCGGCCTCAACGCCTCGGTTCCTGTTGGAATCACTTCGAAGGCTGACGCGCTGCCGCGGCGGTCAGCCTCCATTGATGCCTCACGGGCGGCGCAGTGAAGGCGCCGCGACGCGCATCCCGCCCTCTCCCGCCACGCGTCGCCCGGCATGCAGACCGTCGCCACCCCAGCAACAGCTATAGAGGGCGGCCCCCGACGACCGCGCGTCGTCGATCTTGGCCAGGGTTGCAGCAGGGACGGCGGCGGCACATGCGAGGCACGTGACGACGACGACGACGACGATGGCGACGGTGGCGACTACACCCGCTTCTACAGGCTCCTCGACATGTAGATGACGAACGGCGGCGACGGTGGCGGCTAGGCGTAGTTTGGCGTAGTTTAGGCGTAGTTTGCATGTTTTCATGTTTTTTTTACAAATTTTAGTGAAGTTTCATCGAGTTCGTGCCAAAATCGGCGAGTTTGCATATATTTGTACGGAATATCGCCGAACCCGAGGCGACCTGTGGGCCGACGACTGGGAACAAAGTCGCCCCACACGCCAATCTAGCGCCGGCTCACCCCCAGGCGGCTCATTTTCGGCGCCCTGGGGGCGAACGGCTGGAGATGCTCTTACCATTCATTTTGTCTCATCAAAACAGATGACATCAGCAAGAATCTTTTTGGTTTTCAGTTTAAAAATGTTTTATCTCCTAATTAAAAATCCAATTAAAAATCCGTTCACCATTAAATGCGTCTCGACGAGATGTTCGAAACTAGACCATGTTGATATGTTTCGGAAAAAAAATTGGTCAAAAGTTGCCATGATGTTTACACCGTAGTTGTCATAATGTGTACACTAAAGTTGCCATATGCCAATTTTAATTTATAGATCATGGCATTTTTAGTATTTTGACCATGGAAATTATTTTTTGTATGAACCATGGCAATTTTAAGTGTATGTGTCATGGCAATTTTAGTTTATGGTTCATGGCAAGTCTAATCTCTTAATTCCTTGTTTTATAATATGTCAAAATTTACTTTTAAAGTTAGAAGAAAAATAACTGAAACATATCATGACAACTTCAGTGTGTTTAATTCATGTGCAATAGACATGGCAATTTTTAACAAAAAAGTCATCGAAACATATTGATATGAGATCTAGTTTCAAAAATCTCGTCGCGATGGATTTAATGTTGAAAACGGATCTTCAATCGGATTTTTTATTTAAGAGATAAAATATTAGAAGCTGGAAATCCAAAAAGATTTCCGCATGCATGCATGCGGCGACGTGACGTAATCTGTGTGTTATAGGACGTGTGGACGGTGTTGCTCCCACCACACGTGTGGGTGTTAGCATGTAAAAGAAAATACCCACATGAATCTTCGCGTAAGATCCTTTCAAAGAAATTTTTCACATAATTTAATCTAGGTTGGGGGGCCAGGGCCCTGCGGCAATCAACATAGCTCCGTCGCTGCTTAGATGTGTAATACTTATAGTACATTTAGATGTGCTTTAGCAAAAATGAATAAAGTTAGTCTAACCAGACAGTGTCATAAGAAAGATCGGTTTAGTTATACAAACTCAACGTAATTAATTTTTTTTTTTAGAAAAAGGGTTTCCCCCCGCTTTGTATACAAAGCAACCAACCGAACATCCAATGATAGGTGCTGGGGCGGAAGCAGCACAGTCACGCCCAAAAGAAAAGAAAGAGAAAATACAAAAGAAACTAAAGCCAACAACGGCGGATCGACAAAAAACGAAGAAGCCTCGAGGCCGCTGCGCCCACCGAAGATCGCCCACCAAGCTCCGAGCTTCCGAAGCGCCGGTACCAATCAGCACCTCCAAGAAGGACCGCGATGATGACGACGCTGCTGTCAAGGGTTTCCCCCGGTACCCTGTGAGGAGAGAGGAAGGGTAGCCCCGACGCCCTTCAGGAAGGTCAGGCGGTACCCACAAGAGCCACCGCGTCAGTGTCGGCCAAGCCAACAGAGATTTCTCCCGATCCCAACCACCACCTCAGGCATTCCAGAGCTCGCCACCAAACAGACCCTCGCCCTGCGCCAACCCGGTCACGAAACTTCTCACGCCGTCTCCCCACGGCACCGTGAAGCATGGTCCGCACAAAAAAGGAGAGGAGCCGGGACTAGGGCAGCAGCACCGTCGGCACGCGGGAGGGCCCCACCTCCACCGTCTTGACGGTAGCTGACCGGACGCAATAGCAGGAACATACCAGGCCCGTGGCCGCACAGGCCCGGCCGGGATCTCCGAGGCCCGTAAAGTTCCCGCCTTCGCGCTGCAGCCGGCACGCCATCGACGCCGCCGCCCCTGTCCAAGCCGCTCCCCTGCCTCCCCGCACAGAGAGCCACCAAGTGGAAGCACCACCACCACGTGCGCCACCGGCCACCACCACCAGGTCGTCGGACCGCCACCGGCCGAGCCGCACCACCACCGCACGCCCGCGATGGAGGGAACCAACGCGGCCGCCGGGGGCCCGAAGCCGGAGCCCAGTTGCCGCCCACGCCGCCCGCAGCCCGCGCCGCCTGCCGGACGGAACGGCCACCCCGGTGAGGCGCACACCACCG